AGGACAAGTGGCAATAGAAATTGACTGATTGATTGAAAGTAAAACGGAAATCTTAGAAATTCAGTAGTTTGACAGAAGTTTCGCATTTTACTCGTCGTGACTTTCTCGTGGATAAGTAATATGGCATTGGATGTAACAGTTGATGCGGGTCATTACAGTCCAATCATACGGATTCAAACTCGCGGCCACAGGTCTGGGCACAGACAACAGCTATCGGTAGACGCCCTAACGATCGCGCCGAAATGTCACAGACCGTTTGCCAAATACATTTTTGCAATAATACCATATCTGATTTGGTTAAATAAAAGTGTAAGCATTTAAACCAAAGGGACGTAACCCTGCATAACCGAATTTAATGGTGTTACGCGATCATAAACACACCGTCGAGGAAAAAGACATAATTCATGTAACGTTTAACATGCAACAGTCAGTGTATTTAATACAATGCTATGTATTAATAAATATAATGTGGCCTGATATAGTGCACTACTGCATCGCATCTTTACAGATAAACGTATAACAGTCGTTTAAGAAGGTTCCAGAATGCTAGTGTTTATTTGTTTTCTTAGCCAGTTGTTCGCTTTGGGTGGGGGCAGCTACTTTTAGAGGCCGTTACAAAGAACCCTTTCCTCTGCAAATCGAGGAAGCACACGCGCAACACTCTTAGGCCTAGCAATGCCCGGTATTCAAAAAACTGTGCCATCTTGCCATAAGTCTGATTCCTGGCCTGTGTGATGTCTGATTCCTTCAGCCATGTGTCTGTGAAAATCAGTTTAGTAAATCTTTCTCGTCAGGTACTGAACACATGCCCTAATATCATTCCGGTAATCATGAGGTTTTGAGAAAAAGCTTATAATAGGTTATGGTATCTCGAATTACCGAAGCTTGTCCAGCCTCACCACATCGTCTGCCATCTGAAGGAACCTCATTTTTGCCGCGGTGTCGGTAATCGCATACCTTCAGTCAATATTTATCACTTATCACCATAAGTCAGAAGAACGGAGATGCATAAGGATGTTGGGAAAAATAGCTTCGAATTGTTGTTGATTATTTCCATCATCACATACTCCCGTTTCACTACGTGTGCCTGGCCGATTCGTGCTCGCTTGCCTGCCTTTATGTTCTACCTACCGCTACCCTCATGAACGCCTCATCGATGATCACCTAGTTTACTCTGCTTTGTTACATAACTCCTTTTCTCCTAGAAGTATAGAAGACCACTTGTGCAAACCGTGGTTCCGTGACGCCAATAATAGATAAGTAATAACACCTAGAACCGTGTTAAAATGCACCATGAAACGGCTATAAATTATACACAACGTAAATCAGTCTGATGACGGACAACTACCGCCCCTCATGAGCTGCCTCAGTGCAAAGTGGATGTTCATGCTGTCTGCAGCAGCCGGTTCGTTTTAAGTCGCAAAGCCTTGCGTAGCGATGGTCTGTTCAAAGGAAACTCTAAGTTACGAGAATCAAGAGTAAGGTAGTTGAATTGTGAATTACTCGTATTCACTGACATATTCTCGACGCTGGAACCTAGTTTTGTGAAATGTAATATAGCAGCTTAAGGGTGATATGCTGCTATTGACGTTTCAGTCTATATCCTACAGACGTTCCTTAGAGTACAATGGGCGGTTGGTCATGCGTGTTTCAAAGACCTTCACAGTGAAACACCAGCAGCGGCAAGAAATCATCGTACACTGAAAAACCGTTGCAAGATGCAGGCTAAAATAGCTATGGCGATTTATCACGTTGCTGAAACAGTTTTGCTTAGTCTTGAATAGACTGTCTTCGAGTATTTGCAGACGAATGTCAACGCACAAATACATATTATATGGACAGTGTGATGTTTTCTGATACCTGAAGAAGACAAATTGACTAGTCGATATATTGAACGTCGTTCATGTTACAGTGCGTTTACACCGTACAGTGTTTAACTAGCGTACCATACCTGAGTTTAAGTACTTTAACTTCTGCCAAAATCAAGGTCTAGATGTTGTACAGGAGCCCGTTCTGCTAGACTGAAGCTGTGAGTGCCTGCCACTAACCAATGATATCACTTCGTGACCAAAACCTGACAAAGTGCTCCACCTCTCCGAATCCGTTGGATTGAGTGATGGTTTGGGAGACATCAACAGTGGCTCACGAGGTTTGGCATCTCGAATGTACTACTGAACAACTACTCGCAAGAAAAGCGCTCAAGAACAGAGAACACTTGAGCAGTGTCCACCACGAGGACAGGTCAGGTGAAGGATGGATAATAACATTTGACCGTATACCTGAAGAAGTTTGTCACCATGTCTCATATACTCTGGACGAATGCAACTTTGAAGAACTACTGGTCGAGCAGGGACCATGCAAACAGCGTCAGAAGTGTGAACAACTGTGACGTCTGCAATGCGTATGCGCCAAGTGCTGCGACGTCGCCATCGACAACAGTTACGTTAAAGCTGACAGAAGTTTGCTTGAAGTTGACAAGAGGTGACAAGAGCGAAACGGGCTGACAGACTCGCGGCGCCAAGGGCGTCAAAACGACCGATCCTCGTCAGACAGCGGCAGCCAGCTGCAGCGCAGTACGACTGTCAATGACACGTAGATTCGACAAGATGATGATGAAATTTATTGCCGAAATAGGATCGCCTCGCATCGCCAAAATCCACGCCAAACCCGGTGGTCGAAACGTCGAATTGCGTGCGACCCGTTCGAAAATTCGTTTAGATTCTGTCGTCTTCTTCTTCAGCATGCCCATCGCCGATTCGACAGTCATGGACACAACACACAACGCTGACAGACAGCTTCGAACTCCAGCCAAGCCAGAAAATAGAAGAGACTTATTAATAAGCTGCTTTCAGAAGCCTGGCACCGTGTTCCTTATTCAGCGTGACCATGAAAAGATCTACATTCTCACGATGATAAACGAACACCGTGCCAGTGGTCCCGAAAGTTCGGTAGAGTAAAGTAAAGTACGCTTCATACGGTAAAGAAAAATCTCACCAATGTCAAGCGTAAACGTAAAAACTACCTTCTTCCTCTTAACTGCCGTTTGAATTCGTTTATCATTTGCTGATTGCCGGTAAGCAGCTTCAGAAGTGTACACAAGACTGATGTCAAAGTTTATTTTTTCTACCAACGTTTTAGCCATTGCCGATCCCGAGGATGGCCCAAGTGGAATGTCGGTCTTCCTTACACTTTCATGATAGGGCCATTCTGGCACCCTTCTTTTCAAAAGTTATTGGCGTGGGCGCTGATCTCCATTTTCATCTCATTGATCAGTACTGCCTCATTTTTAAACGCAAAATCGACAGCAACTGTGACCTACGTAGAGTACAGTTATCCATTTCCTTCCCAGAGAGTGGTACTTATTTATCAACTTTGAATGAGAGAGGCGAGTAACCCTGATCTTGGCTCCAACCCAGGGTCTCTAAGATTTGAGTCCTATGCTGTACCAACTGATCGACCTCGCAATTTTTGATAAATTCCTTGCTCAAGGGGATTCGTGGACAAGACAAACATTGCCTTACAGTGAAATCGAAGCAAACTCGTCCGGAGTTCGAAGCAAACCGTTCAGGCGCTGTGCCACCAGCCCACGTACTATTTACTGAAACATTTCCTTGATCGCTACGGCGTTTGGTATGATTTAGGATTATCGTGCCCTACAAGGGTTCGAACAACAAGGAGGCATAGCGAGCGTAAATGGTTCCTTGAGCCCCAGGAAACAAGAGTTGCAATCCAAACGCCGTGACTCAATCCTTCACTTCGATGGTGCCGTGCGTCACGTGTCGTTCCATCGCATAGCTTTCAGTACAGGACGAGTTTCGAGCCTTCATCAGTGTCTCAAACCTTCCTTGGTCGCTGAATGAATGGACGTCGGTGTTTCTCTGAAACGAAAGTACGAACACTCTTTGGAAAGATGTACAACTGTCTGGTGAGGTACGCCAATACGGAATTTTAGAGGTTTGTGAGCTACGGGACTCATGGTTTGTGGACCCTGCGAATGCTTTCCGGTATTTCCAGCTTTTGCTAGGCATTTCACGGAGTGAAAGCACTGAGCCAAATAAAAGACTGGGCACAATACAAGGAGTGAGTAGAACGTATGCAATAGTACACGAACCAGAATGAACCGCCGAAGCCTTAATGGCCAAAGCAGAAGAAACATTTGCTACGAACAGAGTTAGTACACCAGAAAACTCGTCGGGCAGAGCTGACGTTTTTATCCGCTGTGCCAAGTGGCCGAATTCGCATCACCAGAAATGTTCATGAGGAGACGCTGACTTTCACAAATTACAGTCTTATAACTTACAGTCGTTTACCTCTGGCCTACAAGGACGATTGTTGCACAGGAAGACACGAACGAGAGAAGAAC